TATGCCTAGAAGGTGTATTTTTTTCAAGTGAAGGAGCTAGCTAAGGTAACTTAAAAGAAATTACTATAGAAGTGTTTTTCTTTGACATACAACAATCATGCTGTGAGGTTTTTAAACATTATTTCTGAAAATATTTTGCAAGTCATTTTTAGAGAGGCAATAAGAACCAGATAACTGTACTTTCATGGAAGATACTTGAATGCTTGTTTCATCTGCTGAAACAGTGCATGACATCATCTCTTTGTGTCACTTTGGCCATTCATTCTGTTTTGTCTCCTTGATTGTGAGCTATTGGGTGGTCATGCTTTCTCAACTTTTTAGAGCTCTAGGATCTGCCCTACTCTTAGGCCAGCAATAATTGTTCTACCACAAAAGTAGTCATGAGATCTGCACCAGTGCAAGACTGAAATCTGGCTACACATAGCTACAGACTTCGGTTTATCTTAGGGCCATTAAGTTTTATTATGCTACAAACAATAAAAATAGAGTGTGTAAATTAACATGGTAATTACGATAATAATTTTAGGCATTGACTTGGTCATATGGCATTACTTGGGGCCATTGATCAATTTATGTCAATTCCAGGATCAACTAGTGTCAGAGCTTTTGGGGATGTAAAGGCCTTATTAATAGTGTATTGTCAGGGTCTATGTATCACTTCTTTTAGTGTTTAATTAAATATGACCTTTTAAATGAAAGAAGACATTTATCTTTATACGTCTCAAAATTGGCAAAAGATACAGTGCTAAAAAATGTTTGTGTGCTGAGACCAAAATTGAAAACTGTTATCCTAAAAATTAATTTAAAATAAATAAAGTTAAAAGGCTTATAAGGGCGATATTTTAGAACTGTATGCAACCCTGTAGATATAATATATACTATATAACCATATGGAGTTGCTAGATAATGCAACAATTGCTACCGATTAAAAAGAGCTGGGTACTTTAAGCTCATGTTGTTAGAATTTTAAGCTCATTTTTTTTCTAGTCAGACCAGTAGCAATGGCACTGGTCTGACAAGATGTGTTGTAGATTTGTTTTCAGGAATTTATCAGGGATTCCTATTCTAGTAGCAGCTAAGTGTGTCCCACAGGAATAACTCTGACGGTAACATCTAGGTTGGGAAAATGGCTTTCCTAATAAATATCCCCTAGATTTGACAGCAAAGAGAAACAAAGAGAAAAGATCAAATCCTAGTATTACTAGTACTAATAAAGGCATTGTTATCATACATCGATATAGTACTGAAGCCATATTCTGCATTGATTTAATTGCAGGCAGTTTCTATCACCTGTGTATGCTTTGAAGTTTAAAAACAAGCAATTCTGAAATACAGAGTGGGAAATGTTTTAGTTTAAAATCCAACACTTAGCTCCAGAATGCATGGGATCAATTTCTTAATCAAAGAGTGATATTATACTGGCTTCAGTACACTCACCAACAAAACCTGTGTTGGTTAATTCTTAGGGTTTTGTAATTTTCAGTTTGGAAATGGTTCTTCCTAACTCAGTGAGAGACCTGTGTGGCTTTGACATTGAACATTTCTGTAGTAAAGCATGAACTGACATCTAAATGAAATCACTAATAAGTAAACAATTTAGCACATCAATACATTAATATGTGACAGATGAGGATATATCAACAGAGAAAGCAATGGAAAATCATAGGGAGGCTATCATTTTTTAAGGTAGTTATCCAGTGAAAAATGTGTATCAAAACATTATTACAACTTAATAATGTGAAGAAGGAAGGTTCGAAAATAGCTGGTCTCTGAGAGTCTGATTTGAAAGTCCATAAAGTAGCCTTATTTTTCACATATAGTGTGTATTTCACATATGCTTTAGTGTATTAGAACTGCTCAGGGAAAAAAGGAATTGAAGTGCAAGTTCTCTACATGTATGATCTACTGTGATCATATATAACGTGTATGCTTGCATATCAAAATACATTACATTAGTGGTAGTTTTTCCTTGATTTTTGTTTCAACTTCCTTTTTCTTATTTTTTGGGGTTTTTTTTTTGGTCTTTTTTTTTTTTTTTTTAATTGCTTCTATTCAGGCTCTTTCTGATTACTTCCTTTCTGGAGCTCTGAACTAAAAGACAAGCACAGTGGAGTTGTAGTTTCTGGATTCCACTGCTGCTGTTGCATCAGCTTATTCGTTCATCATGAACCTCTTTTGGAGTTTGGATACACCAATAAAATTTATCTAATAATATCGTAAGACTATTGTCTGGCAATGCTCTTTATATGTTGTCTGAGGTGTTCAAGTCAATGTTTAACTTTGTTTATTATCATGCTTTTTGTTTGTCTGTGCTCAGCTATTTATCATTATGTTTAGTCTTTCCATAGGGCATTGCAGTTAATTTCCTTGATATTTTACTCCTTTAATTTACATTTCCTCTTTGCACCAGTATACAAATGTGCAACTTCTAATCTGCTCACCTATGTCTGAGAGAGATCTCCTTATTCATAAAATTTGGGAAGCTGATGGAATTTGATCGAAAAAGTACAGTTGAACTTATTTTTCCATTTTTGCATACGTCTCCTACATGTTGCAGGAGCCAAGTTACTGTTGGACCATTATCAAATGCTACAAAAACATGTTGTGATTTATCTGTTTGCTTTTTATTTTATACTGTATGCTTTTCTACTTGGGGCTCTCTCCTCTCTTAGTCTGTTTCCTTCTATGAGCTTGTTCCAAGTTGCCCTAGCTCCCTGCCTATAACGTTTCAAGGTCCTTCATTCCTCTCAGCTCCGTACTTTCAGACAGGTCTATGTACAAGATATTTTGTTGGAAATATTGTGAATGGAGGGACCTACACTTGAAACAGAAAATGGGACAAATTTCATTGTAGCTCTCATCCCCAAATTTGTGGCAGAGTAATTTTGTTTTTAACAGTTAAATTTTAGGTAAATACAGAAAAATGTTAAGTTGGGAAGTGGTAGAAAAATAAACAGATCTTGGAATTGGATGAATATGTTGTGCTTTCTTTGACATATATCAGCTTATGCTCTCTAATGACTGTATTTTGAATACACCAGAGACTGTAGAGTACTTTACCCCAAATGCCAATAAACAGGCTTCATAATTCTGCAGTCAGTTTCTATGAGATGAAGGCATTCTGCAGAAAAAGAATTTTCAGGAGTTAATCAGCTACTGGTGAGAGATAGTTTAATAAGATGAGCCCCAGATATGATGATCGAAAGAAAACTTTATTCTCTCATTTTAAACTCAGCCAGGGTGTCTGTGTTGACAATCACAGTTCTGCTTGAGTCATGGAAGTTGAATACGCTAGGAGGATCTTCTGACAATGAGTTACTTCTCTTGTCTCTCAGCCAGCAATTTTTAGATAAAATTGTCTTGCTCTGCTTTTGACAAAACGCTTTTTGTCATAGTTTCATAAATATTGAAACAAAATAACTCCAGTTATACAACCAATGATTTACACTAATGCTTAGTGTTATTTCACTGAAGCAGAGAACTTCGGGAATAAGAGAGGTAGGAATTCGAACCATCAATTCTTTGTTGTGCAGTTTGGCTCATGTTCAGGTGTGGAAGGTATTCAAGCTCAGTACTTGTGTGGTGTTGGGGAACAAAACCCCAAATCAGGTTTGGATTCCATTCTGCTTTCCCTCAGGTCAACAAAGTCTTTTCAGCAGGCTGTTTCATGCAGTTTATTTTCTTCTAGTTTTAAAAAAAACTAAGGAGAGTGGCCTCAGCCCTGCTGGGTTTCTTATTTCCCATTAACCACAAGTACAATTTTTTGTCTAGTCACCTAGCTATTTTTTACTTACCTAGGCTTTTACATCAGCTTTACTAAATACAAGTAATCCTTTTTTTTTTTTTCCACTCCATATAATGGTTCTCCTCTCCTATCTTTTAAACCTTTCCAACAGTTTTATTTTAATATTCTTCTGTTTTTCTGGATTTTTTTTTAAAGCTTCAAGCATCTTTCTGGCTTAACAATATATACCACGTTTCATAAATCATCATAGGAAAATTGTCCTTTATTATTATTGTCTTTATTAGTTACTAGTAGTAGTAGTAATGGTAATAAAGGTAGTTTAATTTATGCACAATTAGCAGCATCAGACATCCTATCAAGCTCTAGTTCTTGCTTAAAACTAAAAGCCTTCAACGGCAGAAATGGGACCTAAAATTGAGGCTTCTCTTGGCACCCCTGCTTCAGACCTTGTCAAAGCCAGGATTAAAAAAGAATTGCAGTGATTCTGGCCCTGCACCTGATCTTCCTCCCACCACCTGAGCTGGTATCTGTTTAAAACACCTACTATCTCCTAAGAGCGCCCTTGCAAAGAGCCTGCCTGGCCTGGCTAGGTCTTCTGTATGGACCAGCTGCATAGAGAATACAACCCTTCCTATGAAAGCCTTGAATAATAATTCAGTGAACTTGCGTGCTCTAAGGGTATGCTGCTTATCAACAGATGACCACTACAGTGATGAGATTTAGGTTGTAGAAATTATACTGGGAAGACTCGGTAGCCAGGACAATTTTGAATTACCTTGTCTTGATGGGTAACCAAAATTTCAGGTTTTGAATGAGGAGGTATAGTAGTGTTTCTTCATGCAAGGAGGTGTCAACAAGCTTTAAAAAGATCTCTGTTTGACCTCAGTAAAGCCTGACACTTCTGTTGTTATTTCAAGAACATTTCTGGTAGATTGGATCAGGAAAGGATTTTTAATTAATTCTGCGGAAGGTGCTTTGTCTTACTACTGATGGCATTATGAATATAGTTATTTTGGTAAAGACATTAAAAATGTACCTATATTTAAAAGCATTTTCTGTTTTCATGTATTAATTCATATTTTGTGTTCTCAATACCATGTTATTTAATATTACAGCACATATTCTATTGAATCAATAACACCGAATGAAGATAATTCCCATCTAAAGGAGCTTAGTGTAAATGATACTGTTTTTTCATAGTGTTTGCACTTTAAGAAAAATTGCAACGGAGTATTTTTTTGCTTGCATCTTCCAGGCTCTAACCAGGGAGTTACAGCAAAGTGTACAAGAGCTGAGAACAAAAATCAAACAGGCAAAAAAAATGGGAGAAGTGAGAGCATGCAAAAAGGGTCTTTCCCAAGAGTCTGTTCAGTTGGCAGCGTCTATCCTTAATGTTTCAACAACTGATCTTGAGGAGATATTAGAAGTAGAAGATGATGAGGTAAGTTGTTTTAAGGACTCTTCAGTAAAAGCAGAAGATGCTGTATATTTCCGTTCTTGAGGAAAAGGATTTCCAGGTAAAGACTGGAATTTCATTGTGCAGCATCCAGCACAAAAAGAACAGAACAGTTGGATTTAAATAAAAAGGTCAGGTTAGAGACTCTTAAGGTGGCGAGACTTTGGGCATGCATAAATAAAATATAAATATACTGTTCTGAGCATGTAGATGTAGAGACATTATTTGAAAATCCCTAGTAGTTTCCTTATTCGTGAGACTATTTGGCAGATTATACATTTTAAATAGACTTATGCATTAATGAAAACAAAATTAGAATGTGTCTTGCTGTGCCAGATTGATTCCTTTGATGCTTCCTTTCCTGAATTGTGGTACCTATTAAAGGTATTTCTAGTAGACAGATGGTTTCTGGGGGAATCCATAGCCTTTTTTTGTTGATTCTGTCGTACATTTTACTATGAAATATTTGATAGTGTTTCATCAAATCACTCTCTGTTAAATAGATACAGTAGTAGGATTTCTTACCCAGATTTATTTAGGCCTAATCAAATAATACATGAAAAAGCCTGTAGATTTACTTTAATAAAAGTGTCTAGGAGTTGACCATTATTGGTCTGTAAAAGTACTCTGGTGATGACTTAGGTTTAGCCTTATTGGAGCTTTACATTACAGAATTCACAAAAGAGAGTTTTCACGGTTAAAAAAAGGTGCATTGTATGTGTGTGCACTGATATGGATTACATTGATGAATACAAATAAAATGGACCAATATTTGTCCTATTTACTAACATTTATACACACCTGTAAAGAGATTCACTGTGACAGAATTGTTCCATGCTTACTCCATTTTCAAAGTAATTTCTACATTCTGTATCTTTTGTGGTAATCACTGTTGTGAGTATATATGTAAAACACACAAACATTTAGATACACACAAACATTTTAGATATATAATCCATTTATCAGTTTGTACACTCAGGAACCTTTACATTGAACTTGTAAAATTTACACGTAGATCACATGTACACCTGTATGTTCATGTGAAAAGAACATGCCGTGCATGTTTCTAGGGAAGCACACAGACAAGGATAGGTTTATAAATTTAATAGACCCCTCATACTTTGTGGATATGCTTCAGATAACTAGTCTTACAAGCATAGTTCCCACTTCCACATGCTGTTTTTTAATGTATATTCAGTTGCACATTTCCTTTATTCTTCATTATGTTCTTCTCAGGTGGTGTCAAAATACCGTGTCTATGTTGTATTTTTCTATTTTTAGGAAACAGCAAAGGCAAAAATGGAATTTGAAAAAGATAAAGAATGGCTGCAGCATATACAGAAACTTCTTGAAGCACAGGTGCTAAATTTATATCTTCCCTTAATGAATTATAACTTTCTGTTCTGCGTAGCTAAGTGGTTTTAGGCTGTAATTAATCCATTGCATTTGCAATTATGTTACCATTGATGGGCCCAAACTATATCGTGAGAAGGCACTGTAAAATCCTTGTTTTGCAGCATTTCCTTTTTACTTCTCTTGAAATAAGAGTCAGTGGATAAAACTCAAGACATGTTAACGAAGGATTTGTGATAGCTAACTTAACAGCTGAAACCAGTGAAACAATGCTGGAGAAAACAAGCATGGATCTTGGCAAATGTGTTAATTGAATTATTGAAACAGTGTGTAATGCTTGCTAGAGTGAAAAGGATCCATTCTCTCATACCTCTTAGGAAAAAGAGATTTTTTATTATGTGCCTTTAAAGTTAGTAGTTGATATGGACACCTGAGGAGTTCATGGGTTTCAGTGACCTTTTACTGTGGACCTGTTTCCAGTCAATTCATGTTTTCCTCATAGCCAGACAGCTGTTTATTATCGTGTCTTCTCGCATTCTCTACAATATTTTCTACTGAGACCTCGAGCAGCTTGTTAGTGGGAAGTAAATATTGATTTGGCATCCTGTCAATGCAGAAAGAATGAAAAAATTTCCACCAGAGGCCCCTCAAACATTTTCCTATCGACATTTTCTGGGCAGAGAGGAAAGCTGCATAGAGGATGACAAGGCTGAGACTAGCAGAAATCCCTGAGGGGTCCATTGAGACTGCCGCTGTGACCTGTGTGATACTTTTTCTTCTCTTTCAAGTCTTTTTTTTAATACACACGGAGTCTGCTGGGATGCTCCCCTCTTGTAAGTGATCAAGGGCAGTTTATGGGCAGGTGAGAGCCCTGTTTTTCTAGCCATAGTCAGCTTTTGTTTGGACATCACTGACAACACACACTGACTCTTGAAACTTTTCCATTATATTTTAGTTGTCTCCTTTATTCAGATGATGGGTAACTGGTGTCTGAAAAGAAATAAAATTTGATTTATAAATCCAGTGTTCCTAATGCATATTCACCAGCATGGGTCCATTAGCGATGTAGTTCGTTTCAGTTAAGAATGTGAATGATTGAAAATATTTTGAAAGCCATTTCAAGACAACACTCGTATTCAGATTTATATATTTTATCAGTAATAGCTTTTGAGTTTAGATTGTGTCCTATGACCGGATTTTTAAGAAATGACAGTTTTTCCTTTTTCGTTATCAAAACTTACTACCATTAAGACTGCTTAATTGCTTCAGTAGAGGAGATGAAAATATCAGTTTGTTTTTACTGGCTCTGTCAGAATTACTGGGATTTTAATGTAATATCATAGTGTTACATGGAACTCAGCAGTAAAAGCACAAATACTTCTATTCACTAAACTGCCTTCGTGTTAAGAATTTTTTTAAAATTTATAAATTTCAAGATTCTGTCCATGTTATGGATTCCAAAATAGGAATCAGATTCATGGAATATGACGGAAGAATTTTTTGTCATTGTTCTTTGGTAAATTGTTAAAAAATCCTAAGCAGAATTTTAATCACTTCTCTTCACCTGATAAAGACAGACAGCAAAAACCAGGGCACGGAGAGTTGTTGACTATGTAACCGACTATATTAGGATTGCAAATGTTAGCTAAGGATAGAGGAGCTCATTGCTCTTAGCTGCATAAGTTGGTGTACACATTAATAGTGGTTTTCAGTGGTTTTTGCTCCATCTTGTGGGGTTCCTCAGGAGGAGCTCTGAGAGTAAAAGTAATTCTTGGCAAGCCGACCGTCTCCAGATTTGCAAGGGCATTAGTGTTTTTTGGGAGCAGCCAGCTATGGTTTTCATTTCTGTGCATGCTAAGTCACACGGATGGAAATTGCTAAGATTTCTTGGTCTCTGTATTAGGGAGCAGCTCACAGAAGAGCTCTATGCCCTTTAAAATGCTTCACTCGTATCTTCTGGATAGTTTGGTTGTGGAAACCTTTTGTAGGCATTGGTAATATTTCTGATAAGAAAACGAAAGCTCACGGTGAAATGAAAGCTTTCTGTCAGGACTTTTCTCATAACGGGCTGCTTACTTAGTGTTACAGATTGGCAAACTGTGTACCTATTTGCGTCTTGAATGGAGATGCAGGCTGGCCCTTTTCTGTTATTCTGAGAAAATGTTCGGTTGAAAATTGCGTCAGATCACTTAATATTGCAGTTTGATATAGTGTCTTTTTGTGCCATTGAGCCAGGACTTGGGAACATAATTGCCCAGCAGTATTGATTTAATTGCCTAGGTTTATTTGTGGACTCCTAATTATTGACTGGAGGTAAATTTAATGGAGAAACCTTTATGAACACTGGGAAACTGCTGCTGTTGCTGTTATACATAATGAACTGCATCATATCCCTTTAGATCATTCTTCAAGCTAATTTTATTCCGCTGTGACAGTACGATAACATTTAAAATGTCATAGACATTTTATTTTTATTACTGACATACGCCATTTTACTGCTGCATTAGAATTTTGGGGGGGACTGAGGGAAGCACTAGTTGCTTTTTACTGTCATTTTATAGATTCCCCTAAAGTGTAATGATAAAGGATAGCACACCTCTGTTTTACACTTCATCTGCACCTTTATTTTCCATACTCTTACAACTTGAAAAAGTCTAATTTCTGTCAGCTTTACAAGAATGTTAATATTTCAGTGATAAATATTTTTGCACTCCTGAGGCTGACAGACCCTAGTCAGAGTTTGTGTCCTTATTTTATCAACTACTATAGAAACACACGTGGAGAAACTACACCACTGCTAAAAAGCTTGCAATTTGATAGAGACATCTCTGCATCAGGATGTTATTATGTAAATAAGAATCATATAATTGAAAAGTACAGTCATGTTCTGAATTCTGCCAAGCTGTTAAAAATCATTTATTGTCTAAACCTATGTCTTGAATGGCCAACAAGTGTTTTTTCAGTTGCCTTTTTGTATTTGTACATTAACACTGAATGAATAGAGTTCTCACTAAAGTATAAAAATGAAACATCTTAATAACTGACATTAATAAAAAAGGTAAAAGGTTCTCTCGCCTGTGGAGAGCCTGTATATGTAGAGGCTTCACAGGAGCGCCTGCAGATATCTGCTACCTGAACAGGAGGATCTGAGTGATGTATAGAGTCATGTATAGACATCAGACTGATCATGCACTAGTGTTGGGCATGGGAGAGAGAAGCTGGGAGAGGTATTGCATTATAGGATATTGAGTTTTTAGCAGCTCATGGTATTTGGGAGAGGAGGGAACAAGTACGGTTATTTCAATATGTATGTGTGTTTACAGCTTACATGGCAAGTGATGAGGTGCCTACCTACTTTCCTACTTTCTCCCTCACACCTGAATGTGTACATCTTATTATTTGAACCTGGTACGTAATATAATCATTAAAAAACCAAACAAACAAAAAAACCCCCAAAACGAACGAGCATCCTTCTCTAGCTTTTTCCTATCATAGGAAACTTACATAGCCGAACCAAGAGGATGACTTCTTTTCACATAACTTAGACAAGATTTCTCATAAGGTTTTCATTCATTGTGACTGATTGTAAGGAACAGCATCTTGGAATAATCCATTTTGTGTGTGAATACAGCATGTGTGTGTGTGAATACAGCATGTTAGCCCAATCGAGATTCCTGCCTGAAGTCTCCAAGAACTTGTGCTTAATAAAACACAAGTAATTTGCTTAACTCTTCCAAGCATTGAAACAAATGACAGCATTGATGTAGCATGTCCCTTACCAGATACACAGCAGCACTTGCCTTCCCTCCCTCGTGATGTACTCCTTGGGATGCCACATCTCACATAAATAAAGCTGACTAATAAAATCTTTCATCTCATGACCTCATGATGAATCTACAAATCGTATTCCAATGGTGACAACTTCCAGAAAAACTCCCTCCCCTCTGTTCTGTGCACGCTCTGTAGGTATGTGTGTAATCCATCTCTAGAACAGGATTTGTAACAGTATATTCACTCTTCATCGATAGAGATTTTCCCCAACCCCTTTTTAGAATTTGCACTGGCTTCTAAATATAGATTTCCTCTGGTGTCATCTGGGAACGTGCCCTAACAGCTATGATTGTTTCCTTTCAAATTTCTTGGACTGGAACTCACCTGCTTTGCTTTCATTAGTCTCTCTCCAGCCTGTGTTTGTCTCCTCCTTCTCTTTGAACAGGTCTCTGCTTATTGCCTGTCCTCTGCTCACATGCACACATATATGTTCACCCATGCACCAGGTGTTTGAAGTTCCTGCACCTTAAGAAGCAGCACCAGTGCAGTCTGAACCATATATCCTGGGCACCGTTAACACTGGTGTCAGACCATCAGAAAGTAACGGTGATTTTCTTGTCATTATGAGAATAAGAGCTCAGTCCTGTGCATTGATGATCCGTTATGGTATAAATCTAAGTTTTATCTCACGCACACAAACAAAACCACATTACATCACTTGTCCTGAACTGAAAACAAGGAGAGATCAGCTTGATTACTCAGGATAAGAATACAGACAGGCCCATATATATTTATATAATCATGTATATACAGCCATCACAAAGCAGAATGGACAAAGAACAATAGTGAAGTGAAGCATTTCTCTAATTTTTTTTTTTTAAACTTTGACGTTCAGTTTATAGTGAATTAAGAGGTTTTGGTGATTATAATCTGAATTTCTTTAGTTATCTTTCAGGTTATTCTTTGTGGTTCACAGTGTGGTTCTCTGTGTGTGTTTGAATAGTTTTGTGGGGTAAATGTATTTATATGATCCATACAGGGAAATATAAAATAGGTGTAACCAGTAATTCATGTAGTCCAGAAATTAAATACTTTTATTTTCATGTTAACACATATTAGACTTTCTGAAGTAGAGGCCAAGTAACACTGTACTCTGTGAATGGAGACGCTATGTCTCATTAGAATAACAACGTTGCCTTGCATTCATTATGAGTCTTTTTACTGGCAGACCGGTGTATTTTATGTACTTGTGCTGAGCGAGACTCAGTCACGTGGTGTAAGGTCGATAAATATTACTAGTTTATTTTTTACAGAAGGGATGTTCAAAAGAAGTATACTCAAGGTCAGAATAAATAGGTGAGAGAAACACAATTACCTATGAGCATTCCTGACTCTTTAGGGTCATATTACCTTACAGTTATCCATACAGCAAAATATCTGTCTGTGAAGTTGTGTAAGAAGTATGCCGTTTCATTCATATGGCTTTCTAGTATCAAAGAAGAAACATATAATTCTGGTAAAGATAAATAAATAAATAAAAATCTTTAAATCCACACGTAGTTTGTGCTCTCAAATTTTCTGAATTTATACAAACCAATTAAATACTACTTCTCTCAAAGCCTAACATAATTTACTGATTTAGGATCACTATCGTTGTTAATACTTAGTGTTCAGATAAATTGGTTGTGGCACAGATAACTGGAAAACATTTGAAGGAAGTATCATTCTGTATTAAAATATATACTTATCAGTGGTATAAACAAGCTTTCACTCCTTAGGTGTGCACTTAGCACTCACTGAACTCCCAAAGCCTTCCCCAAGCATATGGCAGGTTTGGAAGCTGGGATGAATTCTTTGGAGTAGAGACATCTTCAACGGCTGTGAAGTTCTGGGGAGATACGTAGAGGGAAGCTTCCCAGGATAGTTACAGAGCCATCATTAAAAGTAAATCTGACAGGCTTCTATTAAAGATGAAGACTGTAGAGATCATCCAGTTCTGGGTGTCTGTATGGAAAGAAAACCAGATAAAAACACACAGCACTTTCTCTGAAACCAACAAATGGTGAAAGAATGACATAACATTCAACTTTCAAACACTTTTGATTTAAATGAATTATTTAAATGGAAAGAGTTCTTGAAAGATCATTTTGCTATGACATGGAAGGCACAGAAAGTAGCGAGCAGCAAACAAAATGTAGCTAGAATGATACGAGCAGAGACATCAATAAGAAACCATTCATCTCCGGCACAACATTAAGGAGATAAAATGTATCAGAAATGAATGTAGTCAGGCTAGGCAAGAAGAATTAAAGACTTAGGTTATGTTATAGTGTTCTCGTAAGAAACACATTTAAACAAGGAAGGAGAGAGCAATTAGAGTGAACAGGATGCTGGAGTCAGTGTTTTTAAAGCATAGCAGCAAGCAAGTGTCACAGAATTTCAGATAAGATTATGTCTTATATTTCTCTGAATAGATTTGTGCTCAGTGAATTGGATCCCTCTATTCCCCAAAAAGTCATCACAATAGTGTACAGGAGAAAGCTGACAGGTGTAGATGACTACTAGAAAATTCTTACCATAGACAGAAGTTATTTGTGACAGATGGAGACATGTCTGGCCAGCGAGTACCAGCCCTTCAAAAACCCCTCTCCTGTAGAAAAAGGAAATAATGCATGTTACCGTCCTTTTTCTGTAACTGCAAAGTGACTGTGGAGCAACATGTAGGATTGCCATTATAGTCACTTCATGATAGATGCTTGCTATTAACAAAGTCTTACTGACTACCATTTTAGATTTTTTTCCCTGACTTTTTGGTAATTATAAATATCAGTGTATAGATTCATACCTGTGTATCAGTTCAGACATTACACCCGCATTTGCATTTGATGTACTTTTATGTTTGGGGTTTTTTGTTTGTCTGTTTGATGGGTTTTGTTTCATGTATCTAGGAAACAGGCAGTACTCTATCTGGTATAAGTACAGTACAGTTTTCTCTTTAAGATGGACTAGAGGAGTGAGAAAATTAAATTGAGTAGTGATACTTGAGTGTGGAACTAGAGGGTGGTTCTAGATGCAAAAGTATTGTCTTGAACTACCGTTGTGAAAAGCAGAGGAAGCTGGTGATTGGCCTGCTCAACCAACTGCTATATTTTACCTAATTTATTTCTGGTGGCCTTATTAAGGTGAAATTATCTCTTCTTCTGATACTAGCGTCAGCTGTTACTTTTGGTGTGGGACTGACCCCTCGGTCATCAGTGGTCTCACCAGGAGTTCAAGAAAGCTGACAGAGCTCTGTGAAGCTAACAGAGATTTTTCCAAAGGTGAACAAAACTGTTCTGCTCTCCTCTGGTTGGTCAGCACTGACCATTCTCTGGGTGGAGCTGCAATGACCACTGTTTTGTACCATCTCCAGAAGTACTTCACAGCATATAGTGCACTGAAACATGAGGACTGTGAAAGACAACTTCTTTAAGCGTTAAAGCAACGACACTGAAAAATATACCAAATCTCTTTCTTTGAAGACATCAATTGTACAAATACGTCTTTTATATCGGAGAAGGTATAAAAGATGTTTTCACTTTTCTCTGTAAATATGTAGATGCAATTATTTGATATCATGTTTTAGATGAGCAGGCATTTGTGTCATATCCCAGTCAATCCAGTTGGAGTGTTTGGGGTTTGGGGTTTTGTTTTGCTTTGGGTTTTTTTATTTACAAGTTTTCACATGTGAGATCTAAGGCAGTTGCCACATGATTGAGAACTGTACTGGTAGTTCTGTCTCATCCTCCTGAGAGCAGTGAACATACACTACCATTTCTGCATGCCCTAGAGATGACTGTAACCTTTTATTGATCAGCTGATTGAAGATAAATGACAGAGATGCTGGTACTGCAGTTTACATCATTAACATGGTCAGTAAAGCATGAATTGTTCAATAAGGTGTTTATCTTTTTTCATTTTACTCTGTTCTTTTATCATTTTTATGATAGAGAGCAAATTTTCAGACACTAACCAGGCAGGTGAACTTTAAAGATCAGATGTGTGCATGTGTGGTAGTTGTCAGAACTAAGTGAAATCTAATGGTTTAAAGATTTTAATAAACGTTTTTCACATCAAGAAAATAAAGTTCAATGATAATTTTTCTTACTGTGTTTCTTTTTCAGTTTCCTTTTGCCTCATCCTTAATGGATGCCATACTGGAAAAATTAAATGAGAAGAAGAAACTGGTAGAAGAGTACAGTTCTCTTATGAAGCACACTGTATGATATTGGTAAGACCTGTCTTTGCAGAGTGTAACTAAAATATGTGTGCTGTTTCCTCATGTCTTTCCTCTTTCCATAAAGAACTGTCAATATGCATGTTCAATACATAAGTAGAAACTGTGAACTAATTAATCGTTGAACAAGAGGAATTAATTACGTTCCTATTTAAAAAGGAGTGTGGTGTTTGATTCCCAAAGAGAAAAATTGCTGCAAATCAATGCTGAGTTAAAAATTATTTTCCTTTAAATGCATTAGCAGTGAACATCAGTGCAGGCTTTGTAGTGAGAGGATGTTTTTGATATGACCAATATGCATCTGTACAATTCAGAAAGTAGAAAAAGCAGCTAAGTAACTCCTGCTTGTACTAGTCAGAACAGTAGAGGTAAGAGGTAAGAACTGGGAATATCATTGGGATTTTGAATACCTAATTTCTTTTAGCTTCTTTGTAAATCCCAGCTTTATGATACATGCTACATAAAATTATATGCTTCCTTTATGTTGAAAAAAAATGAATGATTGTAAAAAAAAACCTATTCAAAGTAGAGTAATACTCCCGGGAAAAAGCTGTATTTTCTTCTGGGTTGGAGTGTATTGTGTACAATGTATTTAATTGTATTAAAAATTTCAATACAATAAAGTTAATTCCAGTGTGGGTTTTTTCAATAGTAGTCCCAGTTCTTTCTCAGCTAACACCAAGCTGCAATCCTTCACTTTCCTTGGGAAAACCATACAGAGTTTTAGTCAGTTGTTTCCACCAAGATTTCTCTGGCAGTGCTAACAAATAATTGCTGCTTCTTCACATCTTTGATCTTAAGAGTTTGTATTCCTCTGGACCAACCCACCTGAAAAAAAAATGAAGGACCCAGATTTCTGAATTAATTTGGTAATAACATTTAGCTCTTGTTTATGGCACTTCATCTATGGATATCAAGTTGTTTTACAATAGATAGAATTATCGTTATTCATATTGGGTGGGGAATCAGTAGCAAGATCTATTTGGCCTAAGATCACTCAACACAAGCATGAAAGAGAAAAGTTTTCTGCATGTCAGTCCAATGTTTGTCCTAGGGTGTCACCATGCTTCTTTTAAATCGTGGAGTTCGCTATTTCGTCTCTCTGAGAAAAGGATAAGGAAGGGAAGACATCATTAAACTTCTCAGTTACACCTGGTGACAACAGGGGCTTGAGAGAACTTTTATTGAAATTACTGAAAATCATGCAAATGTATGCCACCTGCATCTGTAAATTAAGACCTGGAACTAGCCCTATGTAAAAAAAGAAACACATCTTTAGGAATGGTTGACAACCACCTTTTACAAAGCAAGAAATAAGGGACATCACATGAAACTATCAGGTGACATACTCAAAGCAAGCAAAAGGAAGCTACTTCCATGCAAAGGGAATTGAGCTGTGGAACTATTTGCCTCATGGTTTTACTGAGGCTAAAAATTTACATGGGCTCCAATGCCAATAAAATTAATGCCAATAAAAATTATGGAAGATAAAGACATCAAAATATGTGGAAACCATGTTCATATGATTTTGAGTAATTCCAGAAAAATGTATTTGAAAATAATTTCAACATTTTGATCGTTTGTCGTAGTGAAAGAGCTAATCATCAGCTAATTCATATGGAAACCAGACATCTTTTTGTGACAATTTCCCAAACTAGTACCTTTTTCTCATAACTTAAACATCTTGTTCTAGTGCGCCTGCAAATTTTGGTGTCTCCTGGGCACCTGGATATGGAGAGAGCTCTTTTCTTGGACCAAGAGTAAACAAGAGCGGTGAATGCTGCAGAACCAAATGATTATCTACTTCATTTGAAGAGAGAGACAGAGCAAAACAAAATCCTTAAACCCAGGTGGAGCCAGAATTATCACCATTTTTTCAAGGAATGGAAAATACAAGTGTTATTTTTTTGCAGCTGTTTCCTTTGTGCATTATGTCACAAGAGACCCAAAAATGCTCTACAAAGAAAATTAATTCTCCATAAATCTCTGTGGCCTAGGCCTTAAGGGTGGGATTCATTTTCTCCTTCTTTTGAAAATTACTAGGGTCAATAAGCTGGATAAGCTTACTTGGCCAAAACATCATATTTGGACTCTACCAAAACAAGTTCTGCAGGATGTACCTCTGTACAGATACATCTCTTTCTCTTCATCCAAGTCTTCTGCAATTGTCTGCCATTTCTCTGATGAGATTTTAACTCCTTCGGGTAAATGTTTGCTTTCTAATGAGTAAGCCTGCAGAGCTGCCATCAGCGCTCGTACTCCATGGCAGAGGCAGATGGCTCACTCTGGGAAAGCGAGTGAGTCGCTGATGGCATCAGCACAGCGCCTTGATTACGCGAGCAACAAGCTGGCTACGTGGGGACTCCACATAGCCTTCCAGTGAAGGAAAAGACTTCCTCACTCGGTCCAGCAAAAAGCCTTTAGAAAAAAAAATCCCATAAAGGGCTTTTGACCTATCTTTTTGTCATGGGAAACAAACCAGCTTCATGTAGGAGAATTTCCATTAAATTAATTTGTTGGCAATTAAAAAGCTTTTAATTACTGATTCTGGTATTGAGAAAGCAAACAAATAAACAAGTGCTTAAGGCAGTCCCAGACCTGGTCCCACACAGGTCACCCACAGCTGCCACTGACACCTGCCAGCTGTGCCCAGTGCACTCGTAAATGGATGCTCTGTCTGTCCCTCCTGCCCGCCTGTTAACCTGGAAGCCTCACCACTAGGCAAACTAGAAGGAAAGGTCTCAAGTTTCTATGGAGGAAGCACATGGTTAAGTACTTGATGTAAAGATTGGGAAAAAAATTACAAAAATTTGCAGTTTTGCATTATTTTAGCTACCTTAAGTCTGCATGGCATTACATGCCCAACCACTACTTTGGGATTTTGAGTGAGGTGGCAGTCTTTGGCCTGCTCCAGCAAGCGGTCCTCAGAGAGCTGCTCTGGAGACCTGGCCCCTTTCTTTGGTCATAGGTCTTAAGGCTTGCTAATCCGGTAGCAGAGTGAAATGAGTTCTCAAAATAAATCATGGCTGCTATACGGTTGCCTTTTCGGTTTCTAAATTTACAGTTACAAAATGCAGTCTGTTTCTACCATTCCTACCAATGTGCTCAGAGAAGCTGGTGCACACGAGCCTTGTGAGCCAGCAAAAATGCAAAATGAGCTGTTCCCAGGTCTGTCTCCTCAGTACCTTCAGCAGCCTGTTCCTGGCTGGTGCTTTCCCTCTAACGCAAAGGTGTGGAGAGAGGCAGAAGAAATCTCTCACTGCATTTTATTTGCTACACCATCTTGTTCCTTCTGATGCAGAGAAGATTAGCTTAAATCATGTATTTTAAGAATTTTTTTTAAAAACCCAACACTAACATCTTGTTACTTTGAGCCTCTCTGAAATATGAAAATAAAACATTTTGAAAACAGGAGCACACAGACTACAGGATGCCTCCCCTTGGATTCTGGTGTGTTTGGTGTTTCTTCCATGGCATTTAGCACTTTCTTGGGTCAGTGGTGTGTCCTTTGTCTTACAAATCTGCTTCCAAGAGCATCCAGCTGGGGGAGCATGGCTCCGTGTAATTTGCTATCTCAGTTGTGCAGTGAAAATGCTGGATCAGCCCACCTGGGTCTAGACTCAGCCTAGAGCCCGGGAGCGTGGTGTCTTCCTCGTTGTGCTTTGAGGTTGCCTTCCATGTGGGAAAGGCAGGGCCTGGGCATCAGGGAAATGGCTCGAGCTCCAGCATCTGCCTGTAGACAGTGCCACAGCAGCTGCTGCAGCAAGACAGGTATGGGCTGATATAGCAATCCAGTATAGGCCGCAGTCATGACCCCTGTCTTTAAAGACCATGAGATACCAGTCATCTTCTACTTACGAAATTCAAAAGTACGTAATCTGTTCCTCTCCATACATTGTACCGGACAGAGTATTTTGAGTCACCAAGCAAAATGTTCCCAGAGAAAGAACACGGGCATTGCCAGGTACCAGTTTATCCCTATGAAAACCTCTGGAGTGACTGGGCCAGGATGGGAGGATGGTGACTACCACATCAGATAAAACCAATGTTTCTGCTGAATACCTCATTACTGTCCTAAAATTTTCAAGCCTACTCTGTCAAAGATTTTCTTCCTTCTTACATTTTAAATGGTGGTAGGTATAGTTTCCTGCATTTTAGAAAGACAAACATTTCTATTACAAATTTTTTTTAGAGTAAAAATGGAACCTAAGTACCCTAACGGGAAAAGGAGCAGGAAAAAAAACCCAAACCCCTAAATTAGATTTTCTGATGAAGAGGAACAAATAAAAGAACTGTACCTACTTCACTGGTGCTCCTGAAATTATAGCACTGCTAGTCTTTCTGACAGCTTTGCTGGAAAAGTTGCCAAATATCTTTGAAGGTATTTCTTAATCTTTTAAAGGTATTTAAATGCATTTCCATGCAACTTTTCTAATTTGATATTAAAAAAAAAAAGAGAATGGGACTATCGGTCAGCGTTTTTCAGTGAAAAAAAATATTCATCTCGTTTGAGATATATTTGTGTGGAGAATAAAAAGGCTAATATTCTGAAGAAAATAATTTTTTACCTTTCTCTTGTCACAAATGTTGAATTCTGTCTTTGCAATGAACAGCTTATTTAATCTTTGCCCCACCAGCGTAAGAGGAGAGGGCTTCTGAAACAATCTTTCTTATTGTAAAAGGATTAAAAGTACTTACCTTGATTATGTTTTAGGAATATTTTTAAAATCCCATTTCACTGGAACTGAGCTCAGATTACACGTGCATGTTACAATTTAGTGAAGAACTGATTCCGTTTTGGGGAGAAGTATCAGCTCGACACTTTCAAGATGATATTGCCAACAAAGCTAAACATAAAATATATTAAAGTGCTGTTTTGAAGTAACTGCACGTGCGAACATCCAGAAAATCCACTTGACTTGTTTTTCTTTTATCAAGGTAATTTTATATTCTGGTGCTTCCTGACATGGCCTCTAGATGGCAAACTTT